GTTGGAGGTCATCGCTCTTAGGTTAGAGGCCATTGCTACTATAGGTTGGAGGCCATCACTAGTAGGTTGGAGGCCATCACTAGTAGGTTGGAGGCCATTGCTAGTAGGTTGGAGGTCATCGCTCTTAGGTTAGAGGCCATTGCTACTATAGGTTGGAGGCCATCACTAGTAGGTTGGAGGCCATCACTAGTAGGTTGGAGGCCATTCCTGCCATCACTGGTAGGTTGGAGGCCATTGCTCAGGTTGGAGGCCATTGCTAGCAGGTTGGAGGCCATTGCTAGTAGGTTGGAGGCCATCACTAGTAGGTTAGAGGCCATTGCTAGTAGGTTGGAGGCCATCACTAGTAGGTTGGAGGCCATCACTAGTAGGTTAGAGGCCATTGCTACTAGGTTGGAGGCCATCACTAGTAGGTTGGAGGCCATCACTAGTAGGTTGGAGGCCATTGCTGCCATCACTAGTAGGTTGGAGGCCATTGCTAGTAGGTTGGAGGCCATCACTAGTAGGTTAGAGGCCATCACTAGCAGGTTGGAGGCCATTGCTAGTAGGTTGGAGGCCATCACTAGTAGATTGGAGGCCATTGCTAGTAGGTTGCAGGCCATCGCTCTTCGGTTGGAGGCCATTGCTAGCAGGTTGGAGGCCATCACTAGTAGGTTGGAGGCCATGTCTATTAGGTTGGAGGCCATCGCTAGTAGGTTGGAGGCCATTGCTAGTAGGTTGGAGGCCATCGCTATTAGGTTGGAGGCCATCGCTAGTAGGTTGGACAGCCATCGCTACAAGGTTGGAGGCCATCGCTAGTAGGTTGGAGGCCATTGCTAGTAGGTTGGCATCAAGGCCATCGCTAGCAGGTTGGAGGCAATTGCTAGCAGGTTGGAGGCCAGTGCTAGTAGGTTGGAGGCCACCGCTAGTAGGTTGGAGGCCATTGCTAGCAGGTTGGAGGCCATCGCTGGTAGGTTGGAGGCCATCACTAGCAGGTTGGAGGCCATTGTTAGTAGGCGCCCATCGCTATCAGTATCAGATTCCCTGGGTCAGTTTCGAGCTCGACGGACTTAAAGAAGCTCTCAGGATGGCTGCACTTTGGAAACTTTGGAACCCACCCTCTCCTGATCTCCACCTGCCCGAGCAGTCGAAGAGGATCAGAAGGGATGTCCATGGGTACCAGTGCCACTCGACCAGGGAATTGCTCGGCCACCTGCATTATCTAAACAGAGTTTTCACGGAAAGAAATGGAGAAGATCTGGATTCTACAGTAGGCTTCAAACCAGCATCTGGATACTTGCCTTGCTCCAACTCTTTTTGAAGCCCAGGATAGATGGCTCACTGCTTTTCCTGGCAGTCCCCATGGACAACTCTCAGCAATGGCCAAGAGTTTGCTGCTCATGCCCCATGTGATCATCGCATTTGTGTTGCAGTACAGGACTCAGGCAAACCTGCTCCCAATCAACTCTATCCCACCCACAACGTGCAAAAGTTCCACGCCACGAGATAAACGCCCCCAACGTGCAGCTTCCATGACCTGAATGCTGCGGCCCTTCGGTCTTCTCCAAGCGCCAGGAACTTTGGAACGAGTCGAGTGAAACTCCGTGGGTTGTAGTCATCGCCGTCCCAAACCTCAGAGCACAGTCACGCAGCGCACCTCCTTAGTCATAGTCACCACTAGATTTCTATACAACAATTCTGAGTTGCCCACCAGTAAGCTGCAATGTTCGTGCAAGATCTTCAATGCGTCCTGGTTTGAGGGTTGCTCTTTCACCGTTCCTCACCATGTATCCACTTCCGAATTCTTCGCTGTCCTCGTCGTAAACAGCACAAGCCTCTTCGCTCTTCGGGGAATCGCCAAAGCCCTTGATGTGGACGACACGATCCTCTTGAACCCTCTCCCGCCAGTGGTCGAAGCGTTCCAAGGACACCTGACCAATCTGACCAACACAAATCAGATGGAGAAGATTTGAGAAATGAAAATGTAGGAATCAAATGAATATCGCGGGCACTTCTTCAAGGAAGCTCCGCCCTGCCCTCAGGCTGGGGGAGCTTCCTTGAAGAAGCGTGAGCTATCCTGCTTCCTAGCTAGGAGCGAACTTCAATCAAGCAGGCGCCTACTTAATTAAGTAGGAGCGGGCAAAAAATAACTTTTGAAAGTGAGAAGATTTGAGATAGGATGCTTTGGTGAGAGCGATGAGCAGGCTACTACTCTTACAACCTAACCCAGGTCGATACAGTTCTACACTCCGTGCATGTGCATGTGGTCAAAGCGCCTCGTCAATGAAGAGTCTACTGTCTGCATCGGTCATTGACGAACCCGTTGTTGCTGTGCTTTTCACCGGCTAGGACGGCTAGACCATATGGGATGGTGATGCTAGTTCCCGACGTCACTAAAACATGGGACTATGGGCATCCAGTGGGATGGAAGTGGTGGCAAAGTATTTCAGCATGAGCCTGCCCCGTGAGAACAGGTTGTCTGAGTCTGTCAACTGATCTGCAACAGGATTGCAGTCCCATGTCTCTGCAGTCCTGTATGCCTACAGCCCCCTTTGAGCCCAACATAGACAGCAGGAGCGACTTCTCAGGCGCCACACAGCGCCACACGTGGATCTGCAAAAAAAGAACTTTGAAAAAGAGAATGCGAGGCCTCCAACCTACTAGAAAAGGCCTCCGACCTAATACCGATGGCGTCCGACCTAATACCGATGGCTC